GCCGCAGCCGCCGCCGCTGCAGCGCACCTCCCGTCCATGGCTGGGGGACAGCAGCCGCCACCACAAAGTCTGCTGTACTCTCAGCCCGGGGGCTTCACCGTGAATGGCATGCTGAGCGCGCCCCCGGGTCCCGGAGGCGGCGGCGGCGCGGGCGGAGGCGGCCAGAGCCTAGTGCACCCCGGGCTGGTGCGCGGAGACACACCAGAGCTGGCCGAGCATCACCACCACCACCACCACCACGCGCACCCGCACCCACCGCACCCGCACCACGCGCAGGGGCCCCCACACCACGGCGGCGGCGGCGGGGCCGGGCCTGGACTCAACAGTCACGACCCGCACTCGGATGAAGACACGCCGACCTCGGATGACCTGGAGCAGTTCGCTAAGCAGTTTAAGCAGCGGCGTATCAAGCTGGGCTTCACGCAGGCCGACGTGGGGCTGGCGCTGGGCACGCTGTATGGCAACGTGTTCTCGCAGACCACCATCTGTCGCTTCGAGGCCCTGCAACTGAGTTTCAAGAACATGTGCAAGCTCAAGCCGCTGCTAAACAAGTGGCTGGAGGAGGCGGACTCGAGCACCGGCAGCCCCACGAGCATTGACAAGATTGCCGCACAGGGCCGCAAGCGCAAGAAGCGGACCTCCATCGAGGTGAGCGTCAAGGGTGCGCTCGAGAGCCATTTCCTCAAGTGCCCCAAGCCCTCAGCGCAGGAGATCACCAACCTGGCCGACAGCCTGCAGCTCGAGAAGGAGGTGGTGCGGGTCTGGTTCTGTAACCGACGACAAAAGGAGAAGCGCATGACTCCACCCGGAATCCAACAGCAGACGCCTGACGATGTCTATTCGCAGGTGGGCACGGTGAGCGCCGACACGCCACCACCCCACCACGGGCTTCAAACCAGCGTGCAGTGAGGGCTAGGGGCTTAGAACCTGGGCCGCCGCCACCGTCGCCGCCACCGCCTCCGCTGCTGCCTTCAGCACCGCCGCCACCGCCGCCGCCACCACCGCATCGTCCACTGGCCCGGGCTGCCACCGTGTCGGGGGGCTCCAGTCTGCCGCCCTCCTCTCCACCCAAAGACAGGCAGGCCCGTTCTTGGAGGGGAAAAAAGCAAAAAACAAGAGAGAGACAGACCAAGGAGACTTTTCAAACTTTTTTTTTTTTTTTAATCCAAGCAAGGGGAGGGGGAAAAAAAAAAAAGCATAAACAAATATCCGAACTGTTTTATATATACGTACACAACAGCAAACAAAAACTGGAAGAGGAAAAGGGGGCAATCGTGAGATCTCTTGTCTACTGTGGTGATATATCAGTTTTGGTTTTGGTTTTAAAGGAAGGATGAAGATACAAACCGAACCAAAACTGCACTCCTAATTTCCCACCCCCATCCCCCCGACCTTGAGATATCCTGTACGGTAGTGGTGGACAGCACTTGTTTCGTCCTCTCCTCTTTAAAAAAAAAAAAGAAAAAGAAAAAGTTCTCCCTTTCACTTCCTCCCTCAAAGGACTGACTAAAGTAATTCACGAAAACTTTCTCTTCTGGGGGCAACCTGGAAAGACCCTATTTTTCTTGTCCATAATAAAGTCATTGAGGGACAAACAAATCGACTGTGAACTGGGAAAAAGATGGGGGGAAAGTCTCCAGGAAAAAAAAAAAAAGGATTCATCATCTGAAATTAACAGACTGAATAGCAAAGCCAAAAGAAAAATAAGTATCCTCAAAGTAACCTTGGAAATAAAACATTCCCTAAAGAGCAAAAGGACAAGGGAGGGAGAAGAGAGCATCCATCTAAGTGGCGAGAGGCTCCCAGGTCAAGACGGAGGACCAGGCGGGCTTGGACTAGGTGAGAAGCGAGGACACAGCCAACGAGGCCGCCAAGTGAGACCCGGCCATCAAACACTGGTTTTGACGGCTGCCACTCGGGATGGACGATGCCTAAAAATTCCACCGCTAATATTTTTTTTATTAATATTTTTTATTTTTTATTTCTGGACTGACTCAGAAAAAGGGATTTAGAAAGACTGAGCACCTGCCACTGCACTTCTCTGAACTTCTCTCCTCAATCCGTTGCCAACTTTGATTGAATGGGTGCTGTGGACGTGATTATATAATACTGCCATTTCCAAGCAGTGTTTTTGGTAGGTTTTAATAAACAGACTTTTCAAAAGACGGCAATATAGAATTGTTAGATCCGTTGTTGATCTAAAAATATTTGCTTTATATTTTCATTAAATGACTTCTTTTAATATTTTATTCAGAATACTTATGAACTGCTGCAAAACGGTAATTTATTTTTCCCCAGATCTTGTATTACGTGTTTTTTTCAGACGAGCACAAATCAAAATGAAATGAAAATATGGACAGTTGTTAGGTAATAAGGGTATCTTTTGATGTGATAATTTGATTGTAATTTAATTTGAGTAGTGATTCCGTAAGAGCTGATCGAGAAAATAAATTTGTTAGAATGAAATAGTCTGTGTCTGATGCGTAAACACTGTGTGGGAAAAAAAGAGTCCTTTAGAAAATATTTTTTTACTAATGCAAATCCTTAAGTGATAGCATTGAGGATTTAGAGCCTGTTCCACTGAAGATATATTTGGTAATCTAGAGAAAAGGACAGATTAAACAGAAACTACTAGTAATATTCTAGTCACTCCTTGTTAATCTGTAAATTTCACACTATTTTTCTCTCCCTTAAATTTAGTGGGTATTTCTAGGGGATAATATTATCTAAATACTAGCCCTTTTCTTGGAGATACTTGTGTTCTTTACCAGAAGACTGAGCTACATCACCAGTAAAAATGTGCCAACTGGTTAATAGAGATCTGCACTTCCCCCATCCCAAAGTTTAGCCTCCCCACCACCACCACACACACATAATATTGCTGTCTCATTCCTCTTTTTCTGAAGACATAATTGTGAAGGATAGCTTTCAAGTCTATAAAATAGTTTTATGACAATTACTTCCCATTAGTAACTATGTAATTAAATTTAAATTATTAAGCTCTCCCCCCCCCCTTCAGTAAAGAAAGCATATACTTCTAAAATCCTGACTGTGATCCACATTGCATTACCTACAGTGTGATTACCAGCTCAGACTTAAGGTCCTGCATTTCTGTGTTACAGTCTTTCCCCAGTAGCGATTTAGATACCTTCTTTACTGGTGCTGAAGGTTTTAGCTTTTTAAATCACTTTTTAGACACACCCTACAGAGTGGTCACTTTTTATCAAGTTAAGGTATCAATATTTACAATGTGAGAAAATGAAAGTATAAATGCCTCGATTGCTTCTGCCTAGTTGTGTCCCTCAGTATTGTACTTACATTTTTTTTTTTTAATTTAGGGATGATAAAGTAATGATTGAATAGACTGATATTCCCCTAATCTCATTTACTGTCCCTCACTTTTGCTTTCTTCCTCATCTTCACTCCCCTCCCTGTGATAGCCATACCAGGGTTTAAAAACCTGAAAAACTGAGAGAAACAAGGGACAGTTATTTCTTTCAGACAAGCCCTATGTCACTTCCATAAATCAAGCCCAGCCAGATGGCCATGTCTTGAGATGCATTATTTTAAACACCAAATAGTACTAAAAATCACAATCATTTTGATTTGTGAAATCTGAAAAAGGCCATATTTATTAAACAAGGAAAAAAATGAAGACAAGAAACCACAATTTTCTTTGCATCCTTGTTTCCTATTTCCATGCCACTGTAATCACTCTGCCCAGTGAATTTATAACCTGGAGTGGGGATAGGGGGTAAGGTTCATTTGTTGAGGATCTATAGGGGCAAACAAAAAAGGCCTCATCGAAAATCTGAGCATTGGGTGGGGTTGTTTTTATGTGGTGAACACTAGTGGTATATGAGATGGAATCCTGTTTTTCCTACTGGAATAGTGGTGGTTGATTAGAGAGGGGTTTGGTCTGTTTAACAATTTTGGAGGAATTTTGCTTACTTGATTTGGCAGACAACAAAAGAGCTAACGTTAGATTTCACACTGTTTTCTATTAAAAAACAACCTTTGGTGATTACTTTGGAAGAAGCACTGATGTGGGGATAGCAGAGCAACTTTTAATTAGAGAAGCTAGGAAATCATACCCATTTTGTTTAATTATTTTGCATTTTATAAAGTGAGCTGATGCTTTCACTACATTTTTTTAAAAGACCCACCCTTTGAATGTATTTACAAAATTATATTCATGGTTGAAAAACAAAAGAAGGCAGATACAACTGAGAGGTTTTGTGCTAAGGCTTATATTGTTACACATGTAAATAATGAAAATATTGTTATATATCACCAGATCTTTTTCATGAATTTGGTCATTGTGTTCTTTTGCAGCGCAAGTGTCTTGTGCTTCGTAAAGTGTCCATTTGTTTCCTCCATTTCAATCCACTCCCCTCCTCCCCTTCCAGCCCAAAGGAAAGTGACAAAGTTCTGTTCCAGCAGTCTAGCAATCCCAAGCTAGACCCATTTATACTTTACATTTTCTGTAACTCTAGTACACTTGCCCAAGCCTCAGTGATCTCATTCACCCCACCAACCTCTCCTGGCAAGTTTGTGTGATAAATCATTCAAGGTGTATTTAAAATAGTCACTTCGCTGTTATTGCTCTGTTTGGGTTTTTTGTTGTTGTTGGTGGTGGTGGTGGTTTGTGTTGTTTTTTTTATTTTGTTTCTTTTTTAACTTAGTACTTAGCCAAGGACTACACATCTTTGTTCCAAAATAGAAATGTTCATTATTGATCTTAGAGATTCCCTCTGCTTCCCTATAGTCTCCAGTGTTTGCTCATTACCATGCTCATAATCTGTTTTGTATGAATGGTTTTTCAACATTCAGAGAATAATTGGTTCTAATATTGAATGCAGTATATACTATTGATAGTTTTATCGATAAGTGTAATATTTTAAATAATTTTAACAATTAAATTTGTTTTTTAAATTATATATTTGTAAAGTATTTATCCTGTTGGAAACAACAATATATTGTTGTATTTATTCGTTTATTTTTGTAATAAATGATCAACCTCTTCAAGCTAAATCAAAAATGATACTTTTATATATTTATAAAAAATGCATTTTAAGAGATGGGCATGTTTGCACCAATTTGTATGTAAATAGAATAAGATCCATCAATAACTTGTAGCTTTCAAGACTAAATTGAAGGAAGAAACATTCTCTCCACATGGAGTTTAGTTTGCCCAAGTTCCAGGGTAATTAATCAAACTCTAAAATGGATGCAACAAGTTTTTGGCACTGAATGCAGACTTGAGATTAATTATTTAGGAAGTGGACCTGTTTTTTTTCAAGGCAGGAAGATAGAAATTAAAGAATTCTCTTCTTTCATGAAATGCACGTGGCTGGCTGGAAAGATTAACAGATGCTATGTATCAGTGATAAAACCTCATACCTGGCTGTACTCAGACATCTCTGCTGGAGAAGGGTGTTGAAAGAGTGTTAAGAGTTTGAGGTTATCAGTGACCCAGAAAAAGTTGTGCTAGCTTGGTTTTGTTTTCAAAGTTAGATCCTCTTAAAAAGGTTGTGAGTGAAGAGCCCCTTTCTCTTAATCCTGTTACTGATAGCATAAACGGTAAGTACAGATGTTGTTAAGAATGAGGCATGAAAAAATGTGTGCACCTTCTCTGGCTCTTGAAGTTCTGTAGCTCATTTGGTCATCTCTGTGCTTCAGGGCGGCTGGTCCTACCGTCTGAAGGTCACCACGTGACCTCCCGCTGCAGAAGCCCCACGGTGGGCTTGATCTTGATTTCAATAAGGAAATCGCTGGGCTCTGGGTTTACCTCCTGAACTTTCTAGTGTGGGGAAGGAAATGGTGCGGAGGCTGAAAGAGCTGGGGGTGGGGGCAGCGGAGATAGCAAGAGGAGTACTTGTGTAATCAGATTCTTTGATTTTGTTAGC